AGTCCAGAGCAGGAGGGTACGTTTTGAGCACTGAACTTATTATTAGCAGCAGTGTTGCAGTGGTGGTGTTGGTGCGTACAAGTGAAGCCTGGCTAGCAGGAGATGTGATATCTTTTATTAGAGTGACCAAAGGGGTTGGAAAAAGCAGGCAGAAGCCAGGCTTGCCTGCCTGAAAGGGTTGCTTGTTTTTTTTCCAGCCACCTCAGTTGGTCAATAAATAGTTTGGGGAGAGTTCAGCCCCTGCTCTGAGGCCCTTGGGTGTTTTGGGGCTCTGGGATCAACAAGTTTGCCCCTCCAGCAGCGCTTGCTCCCTGGCTGCGGGCAGAGCTGTCGTCCAACAGCCCTCCCGGTGCTGCTGTGCAGCGCCCAGCACATTGTTTCTCTTAGGAATTGGAGACTGTGGCTGTATAAGAGTGTGCAGTCACCTTCGTCGTAGCAGCTGGTCGTCTCTCTGGTGGTTGGGAGAAATGTCTGCAGCACAACCATTGCCACTTTGGTGATCTGTCCGCACCCCCTTCTGAGACAACTCATGATATCCCCTGTCCCTGAGCGAGGACAGGGAGCATGTCGCCTTGCCACAGAGGAGTCCCATTCTTAGCAGCTAATTTAGAGCGCCGTGAAGTATTGCCCTGAAATTGCGTGAACCTTGCCTGGAGGCTCAGTGTGAAGGCTTGCAAGCCCTTCAAACAAATCTAGGTTAAGGTAGGACTTTGCAGCCCAGGGAAAGTCCTGCTCTTTGGCTCTGCTCATCTCTACTGCGTCTGACCGGGGTGCATCAGCCCAGAGGGTAGTACCAGCCCTGGTGGCTCTGCATGTGGGCCAGCAGAGGCCAGCTGGACTGGCCCTTGTGGTGGAGGGTGGGATGGATGCGATAGCTCCACCTCCATCCTGCTCTCCCCTGCACAGCCTGGGTGCGGGAGGACAGAACTGTCGATCCCGGTCTCTCCCCAGGAGCTTTCCGCCTTTGCTTTTCACTATCCTGGTGTTGAATCGTGGATCCGGTGGGAGAGGGGCCCAAGCTGCTGTCCAAGCAAGGAGTGTCATTCTCCTAGAGGCACTTTGCAAACCTCAGTCCAAGTTAGAGGCAGCTCAGAGAGTGCAAAGCGTGTTTTCCCCTTTCCTTTGGGAAGGTGGTTGATACCAGAGGTTGGGGATGTGAGGAGCGAAAGCTAAAGGGGGAACTGGGCGCCTCCTACACGGTGTTGGCATGGCCAGGAGCAGGGCGTCCTCTGTGCTGGTGTTTTGGGGAGTGCAAGGTTATCACAGCTCTTGCTGGCACAAGGCATGAAAGAGATGAAAGTATCTGTGCTCTTCTCTCTCCCACGTGCCGCTGAGTGGTCGTGCTTTATCATACTTATTGATTTTGATCTTACAACCAATTTAACAAAGCAGCTCTCCTGAGCCCCTAGACGCTCCTGACTTAATTAAGTCCCTCTCTGCTCTCCAATCAGCACAGCAGTTTGTTGAGGCTGTTCATGGGCTTAAGCACCAGCAGAAGGACCCTGCTGAAGCAGGGGAAAGGAGCGTGGCGTAAAGGGTGAAAGACCACAGTCCCCATGTGCTCATGCCACAGGATAAGCAGCCTGATATGGGAGGGGGTTTGGGTGATACCAGCCCTCACAAAGAGCTTCCCTTGCCACATCCTGTCTTTCTCAAAGCTGGGAAGGATGCCCAGTGTGCTAGGAAGATCTGATATGTCCTAGGTGGCCCCTGTGCTGCCAGGGTTGGATCTCTGCATGTCCCTCTGCCAGCCTGGTCGTTTGTGTTAAACCACGGGTGTGAAATTCCCATGAGAAGCTGTTGGAGGGTTTGCTGCCTCACTGGTGCCGTGTGGTCTCCCTCTGCCAGGCAGTCTCAGCTGTCTCGAGCCCCCCTCTGTTCATTTGCAAGCTGTTATGGGGATTGTCCCATTAGGAATCCTCTTGAGAGGGCCCTCAGCAGCCCCTGTAGTGCCCAGGAGCCTTCAGGGATGGTGGGATGAGGCAGCCTGGTGGGGGACTGAAGTGGAAGAAGCTGGGGAGGGGGTGAGGAGATATTGTATTGCTGTGAGAGGGAGGTATCTCGCTGGCCCTGGAGAGTGTCCCTCTGCCCCTCCATCCCCTCCCCTCCCTTCTCTGCTTGTCTTGCAACCCCTCGACCACTGTGTTTCTGAGCCCTGCTCCATTCCTGCCCTTGCTCCATGGCAGGTCTGTCCCCCTTTCCACTCCTGGTTTTTCCTCCCTCGCTCCACGTTTCCATTGTCAAGTCCTTCTGCACCACGTCCCTTGCTCCTGGCCTCCTTCAAAGTTGTGGCTGCACCCTGGACTCCCCAACTTTATCATTTATCCTTTACTTGACTCCCTTTATGCTTTCTTTGCCCCTTTGAGCATGCCTGGTCCCTGGTCACTGCTTTATCCTTTTCCAGGGTATTTCGAGAGGGGAGGAGAGGTAAGCCCGTCTTGCCTGGGTCCTGCGCAGGGGCTGTGCAGGGTGTCAGACGTGGGTAATAGCAGGAAAGCGGGGACTGTATGGTGGTGGTGGAGGCGGCGGTGGCCTGGGGCGTCCCCGGGGCGATGGGAACGTGCTGGGGTGGGGACAGGGTGCAGGCAGGAGCCCTCTCCTGCACCGATCTCCCTGCACGCGGCGCGGTGCGGGGGAGCAGCCCCTTCCACAGCGCGGGGCTTGCTTGTTTCCAAAGTTAAATAACGCACCTAGGACGCCTCTCGCTGCCCTTGGCCCTTCAGCCGGCTTCGGCTTAGTGGCGTGAGCACCGCAACCAGCTCTGGACCTGCTCCCGGCTCGGGTGGCAGCAGCGCTGCCCACTGGTGCTGCGGTGGCAGGAGGGTGGTGGACACCGTCCTGTGTGTCCCGCTGGAGAGGCGCTTTCCGTCTGACCCCTTTGGCAAACAGCGCTGTAAACTGGGGGAGGCAGGAATAGGGGGAATATGAAAATGAGTTGTAGCAGCCGGGTTTGCTGATGGGAGAGAGTTTCTGCTGTCGGGGTATCCTAGGAAACCGAACTCGTGTTTCTGAAGGGGCAGGTACCTGCTGTACCTTGGGGAGAGGAGGAGAGAAAGGGTGCTAATTGCTCGGCCCGCCTGAGAGCTGTTCTGGCCTGTAATTAGATGAATTAGTGGAACAATGACCCAATTTCCTTCAGTTTTTGGATTGCCCAAACAGCCCTGAGGTTTGCTGCCTCCCCCTGTCCCTCTCTCCTCCCTGTCTCCTCTTCCTCCTCCTGGGCCCTTGCTTTCCCTCCCTCGTTACAACCCTTCTGCATCTCTCCTTCCTCCTTGCGGTGCAGCACCCTGGGGACAGAGCTGTCACCAGCCCTCCTGAGCTGTTCTCGGGAGCTCGCTGCAGCCAGGAAAGGGGTGAGCGGTTGCAGCGGGTTGACTCAGGGCTGCTTGGGACCATGTGGCCCAGCTCCTCCAGTTTGTCCCACCCAGCTGGGCAGCCAGGCGCAGTCCCAGAGGGGTGAGCAGCAGGGAGAGCGGGCGCACGATGGAGCCAGGAGCTTTGGTGGAAAAGCAAGCAAAGCCCAGGTGAGCCAAGTGCACAGAGGAGGAGGATCTGTGCTCCCCGGCCGTGCTGCTGCAGGTCTGCCCAGCTTCTGGGCTGTGCTGCTCCCAAAGTCCAGAGGCAGCGGTGTCCCCCTTGCATGTGCTGTGGCCTCTGATATCTCCCCTGCAGGACTCAAAGCGTGCACTGGCTCCCCTCTCCCCCAATTTGTTTTCCAGAGATTGGCTTAAAAATCTTTGTGTTTTAAAAGAAAACCTCTGGAGTCCTCCTTTTGCCTGCCGGTTGTCTTCCAAGGTCATCAAACTTTCATTACTATATATTTTTAAATGCATGTGAGATTCTCAGCTCACTCTCAAAAATCCCAGAGGTGGGGTCTGAGGAAACTCCATGTGCTGTGGAAGTCACAAAGCAGCTGATAGCTGGAGGCACTGAGCAGCAGCCATGCGTTGTCATCACAGGACTCGTTCCGTGAATAGTGGCCTGTTAGCTGGACACTTCTGCCAATGTCCCTTTGGCTCAGTATGGGACAGATGCCTGGGGTCTCATCTTGTCTGTAGGCATGGTCATGGCCATGTGAACCTTCTCCTGTGCTACCTGTCCTGAACAACTTAAATGTGGTTGCCCTGCTTGCCTCAGGGTGAGGCTAGGTATACGTGCCCTGTTTGATACTGCTTGGGGCAGGAGGAAATATAATTTCTTTGCAAACGCTCACCCCAGGTGCCGTGTTCCTGCCTGCAGTGGTTGAACCTTTCATGGTGGTGTTCTCTCGGGTGGTAAGGCTGGCAGCTTGGAAGAGCAGGTTCCCCCGGGGCTTTAGGAGCACAAGTGGTTATCAGAGGGACAACCCACATCTCTGGAGTGCCATCTCTGGTCCAAGTTCCTCCTGCCCTGCAGGCAGGTCAAACCAATCCCACAAGGCAAGTCACGGTCGTGAAGAATGCCATATCGATGGTGCTTAGCTCCCAGAGCACGATGAGGTGGCACGGGTTGAGCTTTAGCACCGTGGCGTGGGGCTCTCCCCTAAGCCGTCCATCCTGACGCCTGGCACATGAGGGGAATAGGTGGGGGACTGCGGGGCTGGGTGTTCACTGGTGACTTTGATTGGCTAAACAGTGTGGCTTGTGAGCTTTTGTGTCGGCATCCGACAGGGCTTAGTGGCTTATGGGCTTTGGGAGGCATCAAATTGGCATAAAGTTGCTTTCTGTGCACCTGCCGGCAGGCAAATTCCAGGCTCTGTGCCAAGCAGGGCACGTTTCTCTTTGTGGCTCCTGCTGAGCCTGGCTTGGAAATGTGACTCTTGGCAGCGGTGCACTCGGTGTGACTTTTCTCAGCTCATCTGGGGCTGCTATGTTCAGCTAGGAGATGGCTGTGGACTCGAGGAGGGCGGATGCACTGGCTCTGGCTGCCAGGCGCCCAGCCGGGGCACCTCAAGCTCGCGGGGCTGTGGGATGGCTGAGGGCTCTGCTTGCGGTAACTGCTCTCTCTGTATCTGGCTGCAGCATCCTTGCCACTGCCGGGACGCACTTCAACACGCACGTGGACCTGCGGACCCTGCGGGCTGTGCGTGTGCTCAGACCTCTGAAGCTCGTCTCAGGCATTCCCAGTAAGTTGGATGCTCTTGGTCTTCCTCCTAGGATGTTCATATTTCTTTCTGACGTCCTTCAGATTTAGAAGAGTCCTTGTGCCACCTTGGATGTAGGGTGAAAATCAGGGAAGCAGGGGAGAATAAACCTCTCCGATCACAAAGGGATCAGGGCAGATCGTAACACGTAATCTTCCCAGCAGTCCCTTTGGTAAACTAAAAGAAGGAAGTAACTACAGAGCATGGAAACATTTGGTGTCCCTGGGTGGCGTTTCCTCCTTACCAGCCAGTTTGAGGCTTAGCACACTCTGCTAGAACAAGGTAGGGATCTGCAGATCGGCAGGACCTGCAGGCTGGTTCGGCTCCCTGGCCAGAAGGCAGTGGGTGGATCCTTTAAGGACTGAGGTTTATTCAGGGGAGATCTAGTTTTTGCAAGATTTCATCTGCAGGAATGGGGATAAATAAAGAAACTAGGCTGTGGGTATCTCTGATCCTCCCTTCCTTCCCTCCTTGGGCACTGAACGTGCAGTGTGCTCGATCCGTAACTTGGAGACAGGAAGGGGGAGAGAGAGGAACGTGGGTCATGCTGGTTACTGAGTCCAGCTACTTGCTATTGGTGTGTAAAAAAAAAAAAAAAAAATGCTGTGCTGGATGCTGAGAGCTTTCTCACCGCCTTCCTGGAGCCCGGTAACAAGCTGCAGCCCTGCAGAGCAGGCCATAATTGTAAATAGGAGAGATCAAGGGCAGCACCAGCTTTATTAGGTTCTGGAAATTTTGTAGGCAAGCACACCTGCCTTATAGACCCTGAGAAATTCCCCTGTGCTTGGGTGCTGTGAGGGGTTTAACTATGTGCCCTGGGCAGGATGCAGTCAAGGGGCACTGAGAACTCAGTGGCTTTGTGCCACTGGCAACAGCAGCTTGTCCCCAGCAAGCAGGACCAGAAGGAAAGCTGGAAGGCAGCCCCAGCAAAAGCTCTTCTAAGAGGAAAACGCCCCTTAGTTTCAGTGGCTTTTGGGGTTGGGCTGTGGCAAATGAAACCTTCCCTCTCCATAAAGCTGGTGGCAGCAAGTCATTGACCGCCCGCTAGCTCTTCAGTGGAGCTGTGTGGTCCTTGCCCCTAGTGCTCAGGGTACATGGTACAGATACTAAAGCAAGCAGCAGAGAAATCCTGGAAGGAAGGCATCCCTTCCCTTGCTAGCTGGAGCTGTCTCAGCCTGGCCCCTTTCACCAGTTGCTGCTCGGGAGATGCTTATCAGTCCCTTTGGAAAGTGGGCTGTGCTGGAAGACCTGGTCAAAGTTAAGGTTCCTTGGAAGAAAAAACCTGCCCTGAGGAGCAGGTTGCTGGGTAGATGTGGGCCTCCTTGCTGAGCATGTGCCTTTGCTTACTGCTACGGGGGGATGCCGGAGGGATTATGGCTCTCGCTGTGTCCCTTGGAGATGCCACCCAGACAGTCAGTCCCAGGTGCTCAGGCAGCAGGCTGGGAGGACGTGGTGGTTAGTGCAATGTGGAAGCACCTCAGTGATCCCATGGGAATCAGGGTGCCATGGTGCTGGGTTCTGTATAATGTGTTGCAAGTGTTGGCTCCTGCCTTGATGAGCTTTTATTCAAAAAAGTCAAAGTACAGAGGGAAAGCAGAATACAGGAGGGAGGATTTGATTAGTGTTGCACGGTGAGTCAGAGGCAGATCCAGAAACCACCTCTTCCTGGAGCCCTGCTCTGCACCCTAGCCCTTCTGCTTCTCTCAGGATAGCATTTTCCTCCGTGGTCCTCAACTGCCTGAACAGAGATCCTCCAGTCTGTGCTCAGGCCTGTTGCATGTATCTGACTGCTCTTCCTCTTTCTCCATGGTCACTGTCTTCCTTGCCACGTGTAGGGTAGATGTGCCCCGAGTAGGGAGGCAGCAGCACCTTGCTGAGTTGTGCTGTCTCTTTTCACTTTCAGGTCTACAGATTGTGCTGAAATCTATCATGAAGGCCATGGTGCCTCTTCTCCAGATTGGCTTGCTGCTCTTTTTCGCTATTCTGATGTTTGCCATCATTGGCCTGGAGTTTTACAGTGGGAAACTGCACCGGGCCTGCTACACAAACAATTCAGGTGAGCACAAGGTCCCCGTGCCCTGCCCTGCACCCTGCAGGGGTAGAACAGCCAGGACGAGCTGTGTTTGCGCCCTGACAATTCAAATACCAGTGCAGCTGCTATCATGGGAAGCCCAGGGCTGAGAAGAGCCTGCGTTTTGCTTCATGCACACTGGGCATCACCCAGTTGTGTTCAGGATGTTGCAATTTCTTCTCTTCCTTTACGAGGGAGATTGGTGTGCAGCCAGGGCCAGTCCCAACGGAGGCCCCCTGCTCTGTCCCAAGCCCATCTGCACTTGGGCTTTTCCCCTCTCCTGTCCTCTGCTTCTCCCTTACCTTTGTGTCCTTTGACTCTCTGCTGTCTGCTTGCAGGTGAACTAGAGGAGCTGGACCCCCCTCATCCGTGCGGGGTGCAAGGATGCCCCCCAGGTTATGAGTGCCGGGAGTGGATCGGTCCCAACGATGGGATCACGCAGTTTGACAACATCCTCTTCGCTGTGTTGACCGTCTTCCAGTGCATTACCATGGAAGGCTGGACCACAGTCCTGTACAATGTGAGTAACATGGCTTTGGGTCTCTCTGGGCAGCTCGGTAGGGGGATGGGGAGCTGGAGATGATGTCAGGGGAACGCAGAGGCATGTGTTACATGTGTCCTTGGGTCCCCTGGGCTTGGTCTCATCTCTGGGCTGGTTTTGCAACCTGTTGCCGAGAGTGAAACCTTGTGAGTATGGAGTGCAGCAAGCCCTCCTGCTCAGGGGCTGTCCCTGGGGAGCGTGGGAGACATCCTTCCTTCCCTGTGCTGGCATCCTACGCTCCCCAAAGGCAGCTTAATAGCCGTGGGCATGTTCTCTGGGCACTGTTTATTTGCTCTCCCTGAGGGCCACACAGCAGACGTGCCAGCATGCCTGAGGGCTGTGCCCATGTCCCTTCCTGTCCTGACGGCAGGTCTGCGACAGTGTGGGCATGTGCCAGCCTCGGAGTGCAGCCCTGACCACCTCTGCGGGCAGAGCGGGGTGTGCGGTGTCCATGCCTGGGCTGGGACAGGCTTTTAGGTGTCCTGCTGGGATCTGGGGCCTTTGGCGTTCGTGCTGCAGATGCCTGTTTGCCCTGACAAGGTGGGGGATCGACTGCGCCGTGTTTCTGTGGTTCGCTCATAAGGGAGCTGTGGCATGAAGTTTCTAATGTCCGAGCCTGCAGGGTGAGCTGGGAGGCACCTGGGGAGTGAGCTGGAACCAGGAAAAAGACACAGGGTGTCACAAAGTGCGATATCTTTGTGGGCGACTGGCCATGTAAGTAGGTCTCAGTTTACGGGCTAGAAACAGCCCTGCCAGTTCTGTTCCCAGCCTAATTTCAGCATCAGTTTCAGCGTCATTGCACCAGGAATGTTTTTATACCCCGGTTCCCATAATGCCCAGAGACTTGCAGAGTGGCATCGCTCTGCAGGAGGCAAATTGGATGGTTTGTGATGGGGGAACGTGCTTGGATATTTACTTTGTTGTGAGCAGAAAGGGTGATTTTAACTCTAGGCCTCCCGAAGGAAGGTGCTGCCCTTGCCGCCTTGGGGGCTCAGTTCCTCGCCGTAGATCCCAGGGCCCTTCTGGAGGGGACAGAGGACCACAGAAACCTAGACCAGACTAAAAAGGGGAGCATTCATGGCAGTGGGTTAACCTCGCCATGTCCTTTCTCATCCTAAAGGAGACGATTGGCGTCTGGAGCTCGTTGCTTCAGCAGGGGAATTGGGCAGAATTGAACCACTTGGGAGTTAAGACCAAAAAAGAACACTTCTTGGCTGATTCTGGCATATCAGTGAGATTAGAGACTTGACTACACTGTGTATTGCCCAGGCGTAGTTGAATATACCATGAAAGGTGACTTTTTTTCCCTCACAGATCTGCCTGCTTCCCCTGCCTTTGAAGTGTCCGGGCATTCTCGTCGCTGAATCGCGGCCCCTAAATGCCCGGCAATGGCATGGGAAGCGCGGCGTGGCCCTGGTGCTCGGTTAGGCTCTTGGCCCTTCTTCCCCACGAATGTCTGAGAGGAGCTAGCGTGGCGCTGGGAGGTGCTTGCCCAGCTCTGCGCCTTCCTGCCCCCAGACCCACCACCTGCTCAGCGCTGGGATGGGGTGCATCCGTGGCCCGCTCTGCCAGCTGCCCTGCTCCCTGATGAGATCCCAAGATCTAGTCAGGCCCGAAACGCTACGAAAACCACTACTCTGCAGGACTTAGCTGGCCTCAGCAGGGATTTTTTTCCCTATTTAACCCCGTAGCTAGTAAATTAGGTGACCACCTAGGTATCCAAATGCTTTTCCCAGCATCTGTTGCAACGCTGGCCAGGTGCTCTCTGTTGTGATGTCCCCAGCGGCTGGGACTGTAAGGTACCTCCCTTTCCCGTTCCTCTCTGCAAAATCTCAGCTATTACTTACCTATAATGAAAAGCATTAGGGACCTTTCTTTGCTTGTAATTGAATGAAGATTTGGGCCTTGGTAGTAAAATGCTGCTGATTCACTTTGCTGTTCATCCTTCTCCACCTCCCACTTTTCCCTGTGCCGTCCCTTGGACGCCTCTTGCCCCGGCTGTCTGGCTGTGCCTCTTCTCCCTTCCCTGGACATGGCTGTGCTCCTGATGAGTTGGGCTCCTCTGGGGACTCCTAGGTCTGGCAGGTGACTTGACACTCTGCTGGTGGCTTCTCTTTTCCCTCCACGTTGGGCGACGCAGCAAGAGAGGTGCATAGGCTGCCTGGCCGGACCTGGCTGCTTTTGTAGGCTCCTGGCCGTTAAAGGCCTGGAGATCCTTGGAGAGCCTCCTTGCCTCCTGACAGCAGCCCAAGTGGGGAAGTTGGGGCCAGAGGCAACAAAACGCGTTTCTGACTCTTTTGCAGAAAGGATGTGGAAGGGGAGAGAGGGGTAAAGTGGTATCGGGGAGCTGGGGGTGGCCAGAGCCCGCTGGGGGGGAGGAGAAGGTCTGTGGTGGTGGATGTGGTGCCATGCACAAGGGTTGCCATGCTGGAAACCGGCCTGAATGACGCGATGTGCTCAGGCGGGCGGGAGGCATGGGTTTCCTGGATCTCCTTGGCCGCTGGTGTGGTCTCGGGGGCCAGCGGGCCGTCCTGCAAAGCGCGCTCGCAGCCAGGACCCCCAGCTGCAAGCCAAGGAAGAGAGGGAGCGGGCACGCGCAGCACTCTGAGCTCGGGCTCCTGGCACCGACAGAGCCAGCGATTTGGGACCTGGCCTTTCTCCCGTACCCTACCAGAGCCCGGCAGACCCGGCTCCTCTCTGCAGCGACCCCGAGCCGGCACCCACGGGGCTGTGCCTTCCCCTCGGGGCCGGGGCCTGCTCCCTGCCCGTTTCGAGGGCCAGCGGGGCGCTCTGCTTTGTCGCCGGAGTAAAAGGAGCAGCGAGCGACTGCTTTCAGGCCTGGCGGAGGAGAGGAAGAGCGCAGGCAAAAGGTCTCAGCAATCTCACAAAGCAATTGCCTGCTGTCGCATTCCCCTGCGTAGCTGTATCGTGATTTTTCGGATCCGTTTTTCCCCTGTTTACCAGGTCTGGAAACGTGGCTCTCGGAATTTGTAGAGAGCATCATGAGAAGATAATTAGCCCCGCGGTATCTTCCCCGTGTGTTATTTCGTGGAAGTGCTTTCCTTTCCCCCTCTTTGCGCTCGTCTTGCCCGCCTGACGTGCTCTCTGCCTATCTAGAAATCACAGTACGGTGCAAAACAATACGAACAAACAAAGCCCTCAAACCGAGGCACGTCGTGTCTTTTCCAGCTCCCATCCCTGGGATCCCTGGGAGCCGGAGGGACTTTTAAGTCCTTTCAGAGGGAATTTCAGGTTTGTGGTTCCTCTGGCCCTCTCTGCCTGCCTGCCGCAGTGCAAAACGAAGGCTAGGAAATATTTGCTCCCCCCCCGCCAGAGCAGGTACTTCTTCCCTGGGCTGGATTTAGATTAAACCTGATCCCTGTAGGGACCACAGGGAAAAATAACTCTAGCAAAGAGGACTGCTGCCCTATTTCTCTGCTTAGGCAGGCAGGCTTGTGCGCGGGACAGTGTCCACCTTTGCGTTTCTTAATTAAAGAGCAAAGCTGCAGCCGGAGCGGCTGCCCTGGGGCTGGCAGGGAGCTG